CTCGATCCCAGGACCCTGAGATCATGACCTGAGCTGAAGGCAGACGCTTAACGACTGAGCCACCCAGGCACCCCTCCCCAACTATTTTTAAGTTGCAACCCTAAACACCATTAAAAACTAGACCTAAAAAAACATTTGAATGATTTCAACCCATCTAGGAGCAGATGCCACGTACTTTTGATTTCACCTGTCAATAACAAACCACTTCTTTCTTCTAAGAAGTTTCTGCCACAAAGCCCTGAGAATACATAAATCCTTTGAAAAAGTGTCTGATCACACCCATCTGCCTGAAATAAATTTTGGCAGCATCTGCTTCATACTAACAGCTGAAGGGAAGTCTTTGGAGTTCCTTGATCAAATTGCACTGAGAAATGTGAGTTGTGTGGGAAACTTACAAAGAATAGATTTTTGGGGTGCCAGAACCCAAAATGAGAAGATTTAGTGTACATCTTTGAAGCTGTAAACATTTTAGGTCAGTTTTCTGTATCATAGCCTAATTTACTTGTGCGGTAAACAGCTAGGTAGGTACACAGCTAAACAGCCAGTTATTTCAATTATTATTGGCATCTGAAACTTCCTGGTGGTTAAGATACAAGACTCTGGAGTCTTATGGCCTTGTTGGAATCTGAGTCCATCATTTTCTAATTCTGTGACCTTGGATAAGTTATACAACTTCTCTAAGCCTCGGTTTCCTCATCTGTAAATAGGGGATAATCTTAAAGGAGTTGTGGTGAGAAATTGACTAACTAATGCATGTCAGGTGCAGCTTAGGGCTCAATAAATGTTAGCTATTGCTATTATCATTATTTTACCTGTTTTGTATGCAGGAAAATCTTGCCTTAAGTAAAATATAATGTATGAAAATCTAGATTTGTATAAAGTTTAATGGGGGAGATCTTTGCATTACAACAAAATTCTTCAGTCTATGAAAGAACAGATAACAGGGTTTCTTTTAGACAGTCAGCTTCTCAGTGTGTCTAAAACAATCTGATTCACACACAACTAGGTTTACACAATACATTAAGAACATAGCTAGTGTACAAAGCACAGGACATCTGTAATATAATCATTCAGGCCAAGTCTGAACCACTGTGACAAGTTAACAATAACAATCCTGGGTATTTCCTTCTGCCCTTTATAAGAGGATTAGATGACTTCTCTGTGGTTTCAAAGAGCAGAGCTGGGACTAACGGGTGGAAGATACAGTGGGGGAGTTTCAGTTCAATATAATGAAAAACTCCCTACCAAACCACTGCTGTCCAAAACTGGAATGGGTTGCCTCTGAGGTGGCAAATTTCCCAACACGAGGTATTCAAGTAAAAGTGAGATATCAACTTGTCAGGACTGTTGGAATGACTATTACATAAAATAGGGAGGTGAATTAGGGCAGTGTTTCACAACCATAAGCACACAAAATATATTGTGCAAACTAGATCAGTTCTCTACCTTGGATACCAGGGGTTGAGGAAGGAGGTAGAGAAAGGCTGTTCAGAGGAGGGCTGGGGATAAAGGAAATGAATTGGAAAAAAAAAAAATATTGCTCCTCTGGTTGGGAAATACTAGATTAAATGACTTGTAAGATTTCCTCTAATTTAAAGATTCTAGGGGCTCCTGGCTGGCCCAGTTGGTAGAGTATGCAACTCTTGATCTCGGGGTTGTAAGTTCAGAGCCCCACATTGGGTGGAGAGATTACTTAAAGATAAAAAAAAAATCTTAAAAAAATAAAGATTCTAAGACTCTCAAATTGTTTCACAGATGTTATTTTAACTATATTCCTGGGATAATTTTCCTATTTTAGTTGAGGAAAACTGGAACATAACACCAAAAGCGAGTGGTAAAATTAGAAAAGAATTCAGACATCCTCACCCTTTTAGACTTCTGATCCCACAGCCTCTTTTCAGCTGGTGAGAAAAGAAGTTGAAGAAACAGAAGATGATAGCGGCCTTAAAGCTAGAATGGATGAAATCAAGTCAGCTTCAGAGATCAGGGGAAAATCGGCTTCAACAAGGCTCCATATTACTAGCTTTAAAGACTCCATACACCAGCATGCCTGGTAAATCCTTAGAGTACTGTAACCAGACAAAGATGCAACCAAGACTAAACATGTGGAGCCCGTGTCCTCTTGAATGTGGCTTCTAGAAGAAGAATCTTTTTCCCAGTTAGCCTACTTGTTTTTCAAATAAAGTTGATCATCTGGCCTTTGGATCAATAGATTTACTCAGCCATATGTGACCAGATTCCACTGCTGTTTCCATTCCTAAGGCTTCTATGCCACAAAGAACACCTACCATCCAGTGGACATCAGCTAGCAGGACAAATCCAACCCTGCCTAGAGAGAAAGTTAAAAGCCAATTAGAGAGAACAAGCTTTGTGATATAGATTTTATTGGTTATCTAGGAAGAGTAGAAATTTGACATAAACGGGGAAGGAATGAAATCTCCCGGGCTGGCCCGGGAACCTATTACTGATGGATGAGGAATCAGACTCTGTACCCAGGGGGATTGTCACCAGGAAAACAAGGAAGCTATCTGGTATCACAGTCAGTCATTCTAAGAAGTAGAGAAAGAAAACATAGGGGTGAAGAAAATAATACTCTAGCTATACAAACTCTAGTGTTGTCTTGGGGGAGAGTCATTCCTTTGCCCATAAGTCTTAGAATGAGGAAGGACAAATGGTGTAGTCCAAGAATTGGCAGAAAAGTCAGCACCACTATGGCGACAACCTAACGTACCTCTGTGAGAACATCCCTGTCTGACCCCGGATAGCAGAGGGAGGTGAATAGAGAAGCTGCCCCAGATTCTGTGCTCCAGGTGGAGAAGGCCTCAAGAAGGTGAAGGAATGAGCTAATCTGAGTTTCCTGGCCCCATTTCCAAGGATGTGATTAGTGGAGTGGCACCTGGGACCTGCTCCATTTCAGGAAACCCGGTTATGGGAACTGGTGGGGGACAGACTTGGCTCAGGACCCGAGAGAAGCAGTTAACCCTTTCCTATTGCGTGTATGGGAAACAGCCTCTTTTAATTGTTTCCCAGGGGAAAAGAAACTTCTCAAATGGATTTAGTTTTGCATTAGCCTCATAAGGGGGACTACAGGGATATTTTCCACTTAAGTTCCTATGGTCAATCTCTTCAGGGCCTTTGAATGCTTTAGGGGAGACTGAGAGCAAGGTAGACCTAAGAGGTGTCTAGGAATGATATACACAGAGAGGGCATATTCAAAAGGGAAAGACAGCTCAGCAGTTCCTAAAATGTCACTGTTCACCTGGCAGCATTTCTTAGGATGTTCTTGGTTCCACTTAAATCCTTGGGTTTGGGTCAGAATCAATCTGGGCTCTTTAGATGGGGTCTCTTCTATCCAGACAGGGGATTTCTCCTCAGAATAAACAGGATGTTCAAAGCAGACATGCAGCACTCTTCCAAATGCTGAGGTGGGTGGAGAAACGCAAGCAGAATTAATATACCACTAAGTGTAAGGACTGGGGATAACTGACCCCCCTGAAGACACTGATAATAAGACCCTGAACACCAGGGCTGAAAATGTCCAGAGCAGCTTCCAAAATCTCCTTGGCTGACCTGGTTGACTAAGGTGAACTTAATCTTGGGCAAGTCACTTAATTTCTTTGGACCTCAAATTTCTTCATCTATTGAAGATAATTGATAACCTCTACAGTCCCTTCTGACTCTGACATTCTATTGCTCTGAGGATGGGGTCTGAGTAAAAACAATTTTAATAATGTGGAATCCAATAGTATATTAGTTACTAGACCCCAAACAGGATGGAGGCACCCATTGATGGGTTGGGGAAGGGTTGGGAGCTGTGGCTCATTCAAACCTTAGTTTGTGGGAGAGAAGGGCATCTGAGTTCATTGGCTCCTTAGTTTTTGAATGGAGGGACTGGCTTTTCATGGTAATGTTAATGTTTCCATACTACAGAACTCTGAGACAAGCAATCACATCCAGGTGGGAGACAAACTGGGTAGCTGTAGGGGGGTGGAAAGAGGTGTTAAGAGATGTTGTTTGTTTCAGATTCTGGCCCTACCATGTACAACTCACTGTCATACAACCTCTTCTTGAAACCTCACCTTCATTTTTTATAAAACAATGATAATACCTTCCATACAATGTTGGGAGGATTACTTAATATAAGTAAGAAAAAGTGAAGACCACTTAGCACAGAGTAGATGCCCACCAAATGTCAAGCCTGCATCAAACCTTGCCTAAAAGGAGCACCTGGCTAGCTCTGTCAGTTGAGGATGGGACTCTTGATCTCAAGGTTATGAGTTCAAGCCCCATGTTGGGCATGGAGCCTACCTTAAAAAAACAAAACAAAACAAAACAAAAACAAAACAAGCTTGCCTAACTGCAAGGGTTTATACTATGGAAGTCCTGATGACAGTCCTCATATCAAAGGCTCCCTTCCTCACTTCTGTCTACATCCAGTATGGAAGGTGGCTCTGTCCTTGGCCTGTGTCAGGCCTCCTCTGACTCTAGGATGGTGCTGGGTGTTCCACTGCATGTTCATCCCTGAGTCTCACTCCAAGGCCAAGGGCTGGAAGCCAGGACAACCAGCTCATCTGAAGTACTTCTACATTGGCAACTGTTCCTCCACCCTTCATTTCCAATGCCACTCTCAAGGTGGGGCATTTCCTGCTGAGCCAGAACTCTCTATGGGAAATACTTTGAAGAGCCATCCTCAGCGCCTTGGTTCCTCACTGACAGATAGTGAATATAGTGAAGATAACAAGTATCTCACAAGATACTTGTGAGAGTGAAAAAACTTGTGTAAAGAGCCAGTGGTTGGATAACATGCAGTCGAATACTCATAAATGTGAGCTCCCTTCTCCTTGGCAACTCCTTTGCCTAAAGGAACACTGGAGAGAGAAGCAAGTGAAAGGGAGAAGCAGGCTCCAATGATTCCCCAAATGCCAGCTCTCTTACCAAGTCTGAGATGGTTTTATGATGAATTTTCCAGAAATAAAAGCCACCTTTCTCCAGTAGGTCTACCTGTGAGCAAATGAGATGGAGAGGGTGGTCAACGGTGCTGAGCATGGACTGGCCAAGGCTATGATTCAGGTCTCAGCAGACATGTTCTTTGGAGTAGCACCAAGGCTGACTACTGGATGGGCACTCTGCCAACCCCCCATCTGTTCTGTCCAATCCTGGCTTCTTGGAGCTGGGGTGGCAGAATTTCCCCCGAAGGAAAGCAGCTAACACCCTGTCCAACGCTTCTCCTTGGGCAACTCTTTGCCACACAGGAATCTCTCTCACCTGTTCTTTCAGCTGCCTGAGGAACCAGCTGACAGATTAGCAGTTTGGGCTCAAGCCCCGCTCACCTCGTCCCTCCCTGAACCTACCCGGAGTCCAGCAGCTGGTCTGGAGTAATAACTTCCTTCTAGCTGGGAACACTCTCTGAAAACCCCAGAGCTTGTCCTTTCAGCTGGAGCCCAGGAGAGCCAGCTCCTGCCGTTGGCATATCTAGTGCAGAGCCAAACGTGGGGCGGGGCCTATTCCCTGGCGGGGGAGGGGGTTCCAGGTCCTGCCTAAGGCTGACCCCTGAGGCACCTTGGGATTGGGCTGGGGACATGCTTGGGGCAGGTTAGCAGATAAAATACAGGACGCCCAGGTTTGAATTTCAGATGAATGAATGATTTTTTAATATACGTATGTCCCAAATATTTCATGGGATATATGTGTGCTTAAAAAAAAAAATTTTTTTTTAATCCGAAATTCAATTTTAACTGGCCGTTCTGTATTTTTATTTGCTAAATCTGGGAAGCAGAGGTTGGCCTAGAGCATTTGGGGCAGCCCCCGCAAGAGGTGAGGCCGCTCGGGAGCCAAGAACCGGCTTGGGGATCCTGCACCGGGCCCCAGCAGCTTCTCCCGGCTGAGGGCTGCACTTCGGGGGGACCGTGGGAAAGTCCCTTCCCGGAGGAAGGAGAGTCTTGGCCTGGCTTCATTCTCGCTCGCCTCGAGCTTCAGTCGCCACCCGCGGGTTCTCCCCAGCCCGACGGCCCGCCCACCCGTCCGCCCACGGGCCCTCGCGGCTCCCCGCATCTCCCCACCGCTCTTGGCAAGCCCCCGCGGTTCGCGGCCTGAGGGCGGCGCGGCGCGAAGTGCGCAAGCGCGGCGGGCCGGTGGGCGGGGCGGGCGCGCGCGGGCGGGAAGAACGCCGAGCGACCGGGCGTGGGCGCCGGCGGAGGTCGACGTCCGGGCGGGCAGCAGGCGGTGGGCGTCGCTGCTGCTGCCTCCGCGTCATGGAGTGCACTGCCGTGGCAGTCTGCGAGGTGATGCCGGGGAGGGAGAGAAAACGGAGGCGGACACTCTGGGAAGGGTTTTGTGAGGGGACCGCGAAGTTTGGGCCGAGGGGTCAGGCGGTGCCTGAGGTGGGAATGAGGTGCTTCGGTGAAAGCCCGCCGGCCCCACACGGGGCTGTGAGGAGCAGATGAGGGGGCGCTTGGGCAGTGTGGAACCATTCCCTCAGTTGGGGGAACACCCCACCTGGCAGCCCAGAAAACCGAGGCCCCGGAGGCTCAAGTGTTTGCCAGGCGTTAGCGGACCAGGTTAGGGCCCGGAGACTGGCCGGGGGAGGGGGGGTCCTCGCGGGCCGAGGGGGCGCGCAGGGAGGACGAATGGGCAGCCCCGGGCGGAAGGCGAGACCAGTGCGGGCGAAGTGGGCGTGAGGGAGAGTCGTGTGCAGCCGGCCGGTCGGCCACGGTGTGGGGCGCATTCCTGGGTCGGGCCCCCGAGCAGTCGGGTGGTGGATGGTTGCGGTGCAGAGGCCTCCCTGAGCTCCGACCACCCCGCGGCACGGAGAACCTTCGTGCCCTGGAGGGTGGGGCGGATCGCCCGGCGCCGCCACGCCACGTGGGTTCAGCCGTGGCAGCACCCTCACAGCCGCCCCCTGATCGAATTCTTCGCCACTGGTTTTGTAAGGGGGACTAGACAGAACAGAACCACAGGCCAGACGGGGTTGACCTGACGGTCCTCTTGCCTCCTTCATTATCCTCAAAGTTGGGAGGATTCGATTTTACAGACGACAGACGCTAGGCTAGAACCCAGAACTTCTCACTCCAAGCCAGTCTTCTTTTCCCAACTGCTCTCTCACGGATAAAGACACTGCTGGAAAGTCTTAACAGAGGGGAGCACACTGCGTCAGAGGATGTGCGAAGGAAAGTGTTAAATTGTAGGAACGCCTGGAAACCATTTTTATAAACTCTCGTACACATTAGGATCATCATTCCCAAGTTCTCTTACTGAGATGAGATCTCTTTGCCTTTAAGAAAAGGGGTAGTAATTTTCCCTGTGGTACCTTAGTGTGGAAGTGAGAGTGTACTTTCGTAAATAATGGAATTAAATACAGTATATTTTAAATTTGTCTCATCAAGATTGAATGTTTTATCTAGACATCTTGGAACCTTAAAACTTAAAATATTGTGTGCAGTCTTCACTGCAGATGAACTTACTCGAAATAAAAGCTAATGTCTGTTAAGCATTTACTATTTTCAGGGCACTGTGTTAATAAGCACTTTGCTCTTATTTTGTTTACATTTCACAGCAGCCATAACTGGTGGTTTTGTCCTCATTTTGGTAAATGAGGAAGCTTAGGTAGAGAGGAGTTAAATAACTTGCCCAAGATCACATGGCACATCAGAGATCCAACCCAGGCATCTGCCTCCAAAGCCAGTGCTCTTAACTATATTCTGATCCTCAGAAATGATGATTTAATGAAAGGTAAAGATGATTCATAGCCAGATGCCAGTCTTATTCATAATCTTCCTATTGGTTTTTACTTCGGGAGAAAAAAAGAAACCGGAAAAACAACTCCCACTTAATTTTTCCAAATTATTATTTCCAGATGAACTTACCCTTTGAATAAAGCAATTTATTGTCTCCATTTCCTGTCTTGTTGGGCATTGTGTTAATTTCCCATGTCTCCTTTCTTATGTCACTTTTCTGGTTATTTCTTCTGTGTAGACACAATGCTTTGTTCTGAACAAAATATAAATCTGACATTTTGCAAGCAAGAATATTATTTTTTAGAAATTAGGATTGTAGGGCGCCTGGGTGGCTCAGTTGGTTAAGCGACTGCCTTCGGCTCAGGTCATGATCCTGGAGTCCCGGGATCGAGTCCCACATCGGGCTC